CGCCGCCCTCCTTTTGTCCACTTGGATGAAATCGTCTCCCGCGTCCCTCTGCAGAGCGGGAGCAGATGGGGCTGTCGGCCTCTGCAGCCGCCCGCTGCCCCGGCTCCCGCCCCCCCCCCCCCCCCCCCCCCCCGCGCGCCCCCGCCCGCCCGCTCCCGCCTGCCTCGCTTGAGGCCTCGCCTCGCGTCCGGTCTGTAAAGCCAGGGCAGGCCGCAGCTTCTCCGGCCGGCTCTCCCTGGCGCTCCCGGGGCCAGGCCTGGCGGGATTGCCGAGGTCGTGGGGAAAATGGAGAACGGTCTTTATCCCCCGGGGGCTGTGATGTCAACGGAAGAAAACTCTGATAAATACAGTTATTCAAGAAGAAGTGGGGCAGATGTGGTTAAAAGCGACCTTTTGAAAACTTTTTTTTTTGGGGGGGGACGACACTTTCAAATTTGTAATTGCTGCGTCAAAGTCATGTACAATTTCTCTGTATTCAGAAATACCGGTGGATTTTTCTTCGATCACTCCTTTACAATCTGCTTTTTGTTGAGGGGTGATTGCAGATTCATCTTTTCTCCAAAATGTTTCTGTCCAGTCTAGAATTGTTTAATAAAGGAATTTATAAACTGCTGTGAGATATTTTACCTTCTTATGTTGGAAGGTATCTGTGCTTCTATTTTAGGTATTAATATATTTCAACTTTTGGTGGAAGTGAGGGACACATTGTGTTAACAAGGAGCAGCTAATAAATAACACGTGTATTTGTCTCGCTTAGGAAGATATGTTTGGAGTGTTTGCTGAAATACTAATGCTGACCTGCAGAAAGGAAATTGTAGTTTGCCTCTTCTGTCACATAGATATCCAGAAAGATCTTCACTTAAAATTTTTTTTTTTAAAACCAAAGAATTCTTTAATGACTGCAGCAAATTATGCGGTGTCATAAGAATTGATAGCTGGATGACTGAAAAAGGAAAGGAATTTTTAACTAAAACCTTTGTTCTCTTTTATAAATGTTATTAGCTACTGATACTTGTTATTAAATAGGCACTTCTAAGTATTTAGCATCACTTCCCTTTTGTGGATTTCAAGTCTATTTCTCCTTTAATGCTTTAGCAACTTTGTTTTAATCTACACCTGTGCAGAGAAGGAATGAGTCCACTTAGAAATAACTAGGACTTGAAAGGCATGTGTCAAAGAATATGGAACCAAATGATGATTCTGATTGTGTGCACACATCTTTCTAGCTTTGCACCTGTCTGAAGAGGGAGATGCTGGATGGTATGGGGGGGAGGTTTGGTTTCAGACACCATGAAATATTCGTCATGCTTTGAATGCTCAGAGGTGCTTCCTATGCTTTTTTTTTTTTGCTGTAGGAAAAATCGCAATGGTGCTAATTAGCTTAGTGTTATATAGAAGGTCACTTTCAGGATTAAATGTTTCCTTAACAGTCTTCAATATAGGTATTGTAACAGGGATTTTGATGATGAAAAAATCCTTATACAACATCAAAAAGCAAAGCACTTTAAATGCCATATATGTCATAAGAAACTGTATACAGGACCTGGTTTAGCTATACATTGCATGCAGGTAAGAAGACTTACATGAGCATTTTTTTATCAGTATCTAAAATTGGAATTAATAGTGAACTTAAAAAGGTAGGGGCTTGGGGGCTTCCAGAGTCTTAAAAACTGATGAGAAAAAGATAGCGATGGTTTGTTTCCAGAACAGGAGTCCTGCTTTGTCAGCAGTCATATGGAGAGTATGCAGTAGAGATCTCTGCCGTCATTTTTGGGGTGCAGGAGGAGTGAAGGAATTGTATTGTCTTGGTGTTCAGAAGACAAGTTTATATAAACTGGTTTTAGAAGCTAATACTATCTTACGGTGATTAGGAAGCACATACCAAGAAAATGCTTGGCTAGAGATATTCTTCCCATTAAGGATGTTCCTTTTGTATCTTGAAACGGTCTGAAGAACACGTAGAATCTAACTTGAATTGTGGTCATGAGGATTTTTTTTTTTTCTTTAGGTACATAAAGAAACAATAGATGCTGTTCCAAATGCTATTCCTGGAAGAACAGACATTGAACTGGAAATCTATGGCATGGAGGGCATTCCGGAAAAAGATATGGAGGAAAGGAGGAGGTTACTTGAACAAAAAACTCAGGGTAAAGTGTAATCTAGCTAGTTATCTGTTGTTTCCCTAGTCTGTTTCTTACTGATACTAAGCTGTGTGATACAGGTCTCGCTTCTCAGAAGAGTGAGGGTTGGGTTTAATGCATTCTCCAACTGCAGCTCTAGACATTTGCCAGTCATGTAGAAGGATGAGAGATATTTTTCTTTTCCTATTCAGAAATAGCTGTGTGCCAGTGCAGCTATAACAATTGCCTAATGGATATGGGGATGGTGATTTTATTTTTGAGGGTAAGTGGAGGAAAGGCTAGGGGTGATACAAGCCTGATGATGCCCAAATACTTCTATTTCTTTGCTGTTTAAGTATACATTTGTTTGAACTGCTTTGGTTTATTCTGGACAGCATGAGACTGACATGAAAGAAGACCCCCATTTATGTTGAGGGTCATTACAGTGTGACTCACTTTCCTTCCCTTTATTATTTGTATGTATAGGTAGGCTCACATAGTTTTTCTTCTTTGTAGTTCTATGAATTTTTGAACATGCTAAGATTTGAATTTTATTATTTTTGTTCCAGCTAGAATACCCCAGATAAAATGAATTTCATAGAATGTAATTTGCCTTCAGTCTGACCATATATGCTGTACTCTTTAGCAGAGAGCCAGAAAAAGAAGCAACAGGATGATTCCGATGAGTATGAAGATGATGAATCTGCGGCTTCAACTTCATTTCAACCCCAGCAAGTTCAGCCACAGCAGGGGTACATTCCCCCGATGGCGCAGCCAGGTTTGCCTCCTGTGCCAGGTGCACCAGGGATGCCTCCAGGTAAGATGGTGTTATAAGTTGGTTACTGAAAAGCTGAGTAGAAATACAAATTGTGGCTTGTATGCTGGAATAATAATCTGCCCTTTCTAACACTGGGTGTTAGAGGTCACAAAATAGTTTTGTGAGGTGCACGTAAGCAGTTTCTTCACGTTTTTTTTTTCCTTCTCCCATTCTGTGTGCGTGCACACATCTTCCTTTGTGAAGTAGATTAAGATACCTAATGCGTCTAGATTGAAGGAATGTTAATATGATAGTAAGACAGAGAAGTACTTTAAACATTAGTCTACCAATGATGTTTGTGGTATTTTGTAGCAAGATTTTGGAAACAGGGCAGAAAGGCTGCCATATATCTAGAGACCGCTAACGTAGAACAGCCAGTTTATACACAGGCCACAAATACATTGAAAGAATTTCGAGCAATGACAGTGAGCAAAAACTGGTCTCGTCTCATTATATTTTCTGTAATGATAAGGCATGTTCTTTGGAGACTACTAAGAAATTTTACGTAGTCTTGCAGGACTGAGAACAATGAACCTAAGTCAGATTTGTGGATAATCTTTTATATTGCATTGTTTGCAAGCAGTGTTACTTCAAAAAACAATCTTTTAGAGCTTCCTGTAAAGCATTTATCCAGTCTAAATTTACTTGATGAGATTTGTTAGTGACTGTATGTTGTCGGAGTTGTTTAAAATTCATTTTTCTTTTAAGGTATACCACCATTAATGGCAGGTGTTCCACCTATGATGCCTGGAATGCCTCCAGTTATGCCTGGAATGCCACCTGGGTGAGTAGCAAGAAAGACTTAATATTACATGTTCAACTGTGCATTTTAAACTGTCACAGAAAAAGTAAAGCTAATTAGAAAAATGTACGTAGGAACCTGTGAACTCTGTAACTTTAATATTAAGACTAACCAAAGAACTGGATGGCTGTAAACCAACATTAAAAATATGGCCAAACTGTGAGTTTATGTATAAAGTATGTTGCCTTTCTCCTAACTTTATTGGGTAATAGTATAATAATTTCAAGTTTTGTTGTGTTGGTTTAGAGCCTTCTGTGAACCGCTGTTCCTTTGTGTATTGCACATATATTGTGCATCTGGTTATCAGTCATCAACCTAGCAGGAAAAAAATACTGGATAGTTTAAATTTTTCTTGTATTTTGGGCAAAAGTAAGATGTTGGTTTTTATGCTTGTTTGGGGTTGACACCGTACCCTATCACAATGTGTTTGGAAAATCACAGTTAGATTTTTGATTTTGTCATAAATTTTCACAGATTACATCAACAGAGAAAATACATGCAGTCATTTTGTGGTGGAAACATGTAAGCATCTCATTAATGTAATTCTAGGTACATTCATTATGCCATTTTATGTCATGTTTTTGATAAGCTTGAAATTGTCTTACTGAAAACCTCTGAATATTGCCTAAGAAATTGGGGGAAATGTCTAGTTAGGTTTTGTTATTGTGTAGTATCTGAAGTTTTTATGCTTTATCTAAATGAATATTACAAAACTATATGTTATGAGAAATGCATTCTACAAAATATTCATGAAATAGACCCTTAGGGACTTAGAACCTCTCTTGAACCGAACCTCTCTTCAACCAGAGTATAGCTCCATGTGCTCGATCTTTTACACTGTAGGACATACTGCAGGATCTTTGCTTCTAAGTTTTCATCGAGGTGAAAGGTTGTTCTCTTCTGAGACATAAATGTCGTTTTAACAGTCTTTGATTTTAAAAATCATGTCATAGTCGAACATCTTGTGGATGCTCATCATGACTGTGGCTTTTCTGGGTGGAAACTGAACAGAATTTTATCAGGCTTGCTGGTGCTTAGTCCTTAAACTCTCTGTTAGCTTCAGGTGAATGTAATGTCATGTAGTAAAAGACAAAATAATTTGCCAAAAATTCACTGCACTGTCATTTTGGTGAAATTGGGGGGGGTTGTTTTATTATGTTTTTACCTGGTTTAATATAAAATTTTGTTTACTTAACCTGATGATCTTTTGTTTAAAAATGAGCAAAGAAGAACTAGGACCTAGGAAGCAACTTTGTTTTCAGTGTGACACCAGTTCTAGCGCTATCCCTGCAGTTTAACTGAAAGTCATCTTTCTGGTGGCAGCAGGCAGCAAGCATCCAGCACTTTTTTTTGGGTCTAACAGATAGGTGTCAAAACGGGTGGCAAGACTGACTTTGCCTTCTCCAACCATTAACCCAAAAAAGGGGTGATGGTACTGTGTTCCTGGTCATTACTGCTTCTACATTGGTTTTTCCTTTTGTAGCAGTGGTAGACAAGTTGAGAATAAAAATAAGACTGGGTAGCAGTTCGCTTTGCAGAATGAACGCTCCCCTGTTTATGATGATTTATTTTGATTTTGAAACAGCAGTGGTGAAGGTTTCTTGACTTTATCATACAAATAGAAACTGCTTCTTAGTGGGGTTTTGGTGTGCGCTTGGCTGCTCTGTATCTGCTTATCTTGCTAACTAAAGTAATAAGCATTCCTTTATTTTGTTTCCCTAATCCAGTTTCGAGTGTCCAGAAAAATTTAAGCAAACTTAAGCTACACTTGGTTTGTTCCCTGTAAAGGAATCATATATCTTCATCTATAGCTTCCCAGCTTAAAAGCATTTAGTGTTGTAGACAGCTTATTTTTTTATGGAGTTGCAGCCCTGTGCAGGAGGAATTTGCTTATGTTAAGGGTTGTATGTATAGTTTAGATGGGGAACGTATTAATTTGTAGTGTGGTTTAGTAGATAAGGATAAAAGGAGTCATTTAGATGCTGCCTTTCTGTTAGGAAATACAGACCAATTTTTTCTCCAGGTATCAGTAGCAAGGGGAAAAAAAAAAAACCCAAACCTGTTTTTAATATGAAGGAAAAATATGCCATAATAAGGACTTCTCATTAAAAAAAAACAATCCCACTTTTCTATCCTTAGCATAGGGAATATTTAATGTAATTGGAACTCCAGAAGCTTTCTTGTCCTGTGGTCTTTGCTCTGCTTCTATCAGTATTTTGTGGATAGTTTACAGATTTGGGTTCTCTGCAATTCACTGGAGGAAGGAGGGTATGTTAAAATAGCATGAGGGTGCTATAACCACAAATAGACTTGTGGTGTCAGACGTACAGTGATTTTAGTGTGATTGGAGTTAGCTGTTTTTCCTACTTTCACATTTTCTGAGTGTACTACGATCAGGTTCTTGGAACACTCTGCTGAAACTAGTAGCCTGAAATAGACTTCAAGAGAGACACCAGTTCTGGAGATTGGGTAATAGTGGAAATGAAACCTTGAGGAATTAAAGCTCAAATAAAAAGTGATTGGGGGTTTTCTTGTGGGTTTTTTTGTTTGTTTGTTTTGTTTGGGTTTTTTTTTTCCCCCTTGTGGAAAAACATTTTTAACTGTGGAGTCAGCTGATTTTGAATTGCCTCTGTTGAGAGCTTCTTGAAATTATTTACCATAATTTTTTATCTAATACAGGTATGTACCAATTGTCTTAAGAGTTTGTCATGAGTGTTCATACCAGTGCTCATTTCCTGTTTAATAGGATGATGCCGATGGGTGGAATGATGCCTCCTGGGCCAGGAATACCACCTCTTATGCCTGGTATGCCACCAGGTAGGTCAGTTATTGAACTCATACTATGGGGAGAGCTAAATTATATCTGTTTATTTCCACTGAGATTTAAGATTTATGTAAGGAGTATACACACTTATGCCACCACCTTGGTGTGGATTGATTGCCACAGAAGCCACTCTTGTGTACAGGTGATGGGGTTGATTTATGGATTTTGATTATAAATAATTATTTGTGTTCGGTACCATTGTGAAGGTAAAAACTAGAATATAGTTTTCTCTTCCTGTTGCACTTTCTCTGGCTTTTGTGTTGCCTAGTCTCTCTTCATCCCTTTTTTTAATGTCTGTGGCTGCAGCTGGAAAATTGTAATGATTGAGAATGTGGGAAATGAGAAATACCCAAGTAATGAACCTGCTGTGTGAAGAAACTAATTGGAATTTTGGTCTCTCGCCATAGCTAGAAGAAATGTTTCTCAAGCTTGTGCAGCTCTTAAGCAGCCTTAAGTTCTGAGGGTGTTCCACCTGACCAGCAGCCATGCTGTGATAGCTTGAGATTTGCTGGTTTGTCCGCATTCCTCACTGGAGAAGGAGGCAAGCCACTAGGACAGTTACAGCCTAGTTCTGCTGCACAGTAATATGATGGAACCCATGTAAGCTGTTAACTTCCCATCACTGAATCTCTCCTAGAGCCCCACACATATGGAGTGCATGTATTGTGATGATAGGCTACAAAAAGTAGCCTTGTGTCACTGTTCCACTGTGTTGAAGACACACAGCAAAGCTGATCTGTGTTTTGGTCAAAATTCTGATACTGTTTGTAATGGCTACATCTTCTGGATTTTGTAACAGTCTTATCCATGCGCTTGGCAGCTTAGGTGCAGTGTGTTGGAAACAGTTACTGCATTAATTGCATTGATTTATAAACTTCATTGTTGAAGTTCTAGTAGAAAACACAAATTAATTCAGTATTGCTCTGAAGTGTTTGAGGTTACTGCCTATGCATGGACATTTATTGGTGACTGCTGGCATTACCCTTTGTCATGTTTTATTTTACTGTTGCCTTAAAAATACATCTTCCTTGGGGAAGACTGTTCTAAGGAACGTTGTGAACAGAATCCTCTAAAGGAGTATTCTTATTCCCTTCAGCCTGATTTGTTACCAGTTCTTTGTGGTTTGTAGGTATGCCACCACCAGTTGGTCCTCGTCCTGGGATGCCTCCAATGACACAAGCACAGCCTGTTACAGCACCGGGCATTCTTAACAGGCCTCCAGCTCCTGCTGCATCGGCACCTACCCCCCAGCCCCCAGTTACTAAACCACTCTTCCCAAGTGCAGGGCAGGTAAGGTATCTCATAGCCTGGAATCTATTGTTATATTCTTCAAATTGCCACTGTGTTAACAGTGTCTATTCTTTATTATTGAGGAGGCCCGAGAAGTGACTGGAGTTTCTTGCTTGTGTTGATTCTTAAGTTTAATTCAGCGTAGTGCTTGAACGGATTTTAAAAGATTCTTTTGTTTGTCTTATAACAGCCATGAAACCAGACAGAAGTTCTGTAAGCACGTGGGGAAGAAAGGAGTAGGCAAAACAATTCTTTAATCCCTTTAGTTTGTCGTTTATAAGGGTGCTCTGGGTGGGTGAAGGGATGTGTTAGTTAGCTACAGGAATCTGATTGCATAGAACTTTACCTAAAATTTCCGAAGTATAAATCTTGACATGACTTGTTCTCTCCTGTTCTTTTCATAATGGGCTCTCTACCCATAGATGGACTAATTTATTCTACAGTCTTGTTAAACTGGTTAAACATTGCCTGAATTAGGAGGTTTTTTTACTTTAAAAAGTTTAGGAGTAAGTTAAGGTAGTAAGAATTTGTTTAAATGTTTTGGGGAGGGAAGTGGGTAATTGATAGTGACGTGTGACCTCTACCCTTTGATTGCACTTACTGTGTATAAGTCGTGAAGTTTTTACTTGCTTTCAAGTATGTTGCAGAAACCTTCATAGTGTACTATTTGCATTTTGGACTTCTGCAGGGAAGATACTCGTTTACAAAAACACAGTCCTTTCATAAGAAAGGACTTAGCATAAGAAATCCTTTCGTCTGGATACTTTCCACCCATTTGTTTGGAGACTTTTCACTGTTTCCTTTCTTTTATGCTACAGATGGGGACACCTGTCACAAGCTCAAGTACAGCTTCCTCCAATTCAGAAAGTCTGTCAGCATCTTCTAACGCTCTGTTTCCTAGCACAGCACAAGTACGCAGGAAGTCACAGTTAAAAACGAATTGCTTTGCAACTTAACCCTTTGGACCGTTCTGTAAAATCTAAAATTGACTAAACATCTTCAGATAATTTCTGTTAGATTCCTGATTATGTTTAGCGGGTAAAACTGCAGAGTCCTTGATTGGGAGTTGCATCTTACTAGACATAAACATGTCAAAGTGCCCAATATCTCTTAGTGTGGAAGAATGAAATGTTACATCCTGGTTCTAAAGGGTTAAAAAAGCATGAAAGCAGTTAAATGCATTTTAGTGGGCAGTGGTTAGCTTGATGCATGGTGAAGGCTTTTTAGTTTATGTTGTTTAATATGGTACATTACGATGTAGGGAATTTTGTGATTTGCATTACATGCAAAAAATTGAAATCCTTTGTTTTGATTGGAAAGTTCAGATAATTATAAATGTATAGTAAATGTATAGTGACTAGAAACAAAAGCATTCTGTCGTAACAAAAGCTTGCTTTGGAGATTGCTGCATCTTCAGAGAAAGGCTGGTAAAGCAAACTTTTCTTGTCTAACAGTTAAAGAAAAAAGTAGGAAAGATGAAATGCTGGAATCTGTAGTGGACCTCATACCTGCCTTCAGCTGATTCTTCATTCCCAAGCTAGTTAAAAGATGTATAGAGAGACATAGTACTTGTGAAAGTATTGCAGTGTTTTTATGGAGACAACACTTAAAAACCCTGACACAATAGGGCTTTCTTAAATATTTAAAACATTTCTTAAATACCTAATTTTAATGAATACTAACACTTTGAGCTGTACTCTAAACTAATGGTTGCTAAAGTATGCTAATAATTTAGTGAGAGAACGATGAGTTTATACTTATAGGCTCTTAACAAAACAGTGATTCAGAAAGATTTAGACATTTACCAGACTCAGTATTTGAGATAAAAATTTTGATAGTGGGGGGTGGTGGTTGTTGTTCCTTTTTTCTAGTTGTGGCTTTTGACCTGCAAACTTTAGACTTTCCAGTGTGTGTGTGTATATGTGTATATACTGGGTTTTATTTTGTCTTGTTTTCAGTTGCTCTAGTGTGCGATAAGGCTGAACTTTACTTTTGTCAAGCTTGTTTTAATTATGTATCTCACTGGAAGGTTTCAGAGCTCTAACAGACATCATTTAAGTTTTCTTACGCTGTGAGAAATAAATATTGATCTATCTCTGTGTTCCACAGGCTGCAGCAGCTGTTCCAGGTCCAGTTGGTACTGATTTCAAACCTTTGAATTCTACACCTGCAACAACAACAGAACCCCCAAAACCTACATTCCCTGCTTACACACAGTCTACAGCCTCAACCACTAGCACGACAAACAGTACTGCAGCTAAACCAGCTACATCTATAACAAGTAAGCCTGCTACCCTCACAACAACCAGTGCAACCAGTAAGTTGATCCATCCAGATGAGGATATATCACTGGTAAGTTAAAATATTTTCATTGTCTTATTGAAAAATGCGATTTATGCTGATGTGGCTGATAAAATAGAATTTCTTCTGCATTATGTGTATTTTAATAATGGCGTGAGTGCAAACTGCAGAATTAATGTAACAGAACTGTGCATCAAGAAAACTTCGGTTGCAAAGTGATGACTGACATATTGCAATGATCCTGCTGCAGATCTAAGCCTTACTTTTCTTGGTGATAGGAGATTACTCAACCCAAAATATAATTTGGGCTACTTCTGCATATGACTTAAGCTTGAAGTTAAATAGATACAGCTAATGAGTGTAGGACAAAAGACTTAACAGCTTGAAGTGGTCTTGGTGCTATTACAGCAGTCAGAAATACGGAATTCGTGGATAAAACAAATGAACCTTAATTTCAGTTCAGATACCTTTACATTTGTGTTCGGCTTTTTTGTCTCAACTTGTTAATGAGGAAAAGGCTTTCTTCAGTTGAGAGAGGACGAGAATTTGTGTTGTGTGCAAAATGCTAGATTGGCCAGTATTAATACTCAGTAGCTCTGAAGGAAGGGGGAAAAATCCAAATGCTACTGTGTAATGTTACTAGTAGCAGTCTTTGAACTGGTAAGGTAGTTGAAGTAGTATCTGTAATCTACTTTGTTACACTTTTATTTACTTTGCTGGTGGTGAGTTTTAGCCTTACAATGTGTTACGGTTGTCTGTTCCTGGTTTTAGGAAGAGAGAAGGGCACAGTTGCCTAAATATCAGCGTAATCTTCCTCGGCCAGGACAAGCTTCCTTGGGTAATCCACCAGTTGGACCAATCGGAGGTATGATGCCACCACAGCCAGGAATTCCTCCACAACAACAAGGAATGAGACCTCCCATGCCACCTCATGGTAATCATAAGTTTCTCAGCTTTCTTTTCTTGAAAAGATTTCCTCTCCCCCCCCCGAAACATTTTTTAAAACTTGAAGTGGCGTATACTAGTGGGGGAGTGTGAAGCTTTTCACAAAATGCAACTTCTGCCCATTATTTAAAAAAAAAAAATCTTCTTTGCATCTCAAATGTTCTGTTTATAGGTCAGTATGGTGCTCATCACCAGGGCATGCCAGGATATCTTCCTGGAGCGATGCCTCCATACGGTCAGGGACCTCCGATGGTGCCCCCTTACCAAAGTGGACCTCCTCGACCTCCAATGGGAATGAGACCTCCTGTAATGTCGCAAGGTGGCCGCTACTGATGCTACTACACACGCTCTAATAGGTTTGGAGATTAAACCTTTTCTCATCTTGTGCTGTTAATATAGCCGAGCTTCCGTCAATTAAGGCTTCATTGTGACTTTAAAAAAATAAGTATCTTCCCACATGCAAGGAGCTATTGGACATTCTTATTTTACATGGGAAAAATTATTTGGAATAATAACAGGAACTTTTCCTGATGTTGCAATTTATACTGTATGGCTTCTTTTTCATGTTTCATCTAGGTTTTTAGAAGTGAAGTATAGTAAATATGGTTCGTTAAATTGTGAAGGCGCTGGAATTACATGAACATACCACCTTAAAGGCAAGTTCTGTAACATTATGTTGCTCTTTGTGAAATGATGCCTTCACAGCACTTCAAGTGCTGTTGGACTTCATGTCCCCAACATAGTTTGGTGAGGGCTGTAACTGTTCCCAACTACTTGTACATTTAAGTCTGAACTTGTAACGATATTTAATGTATTTAGAGTTCCTCCTGTTTCAGGGTTTAAGTAAATTGACCCACTAAGGTCGTGTGACTTTTCTGTACTGTTATAAACTTCATTGTAATAAAAGAAGAGAAAAATTTATATGCCTTTTTATTCATGACCAGCTGTGGACAACTGCCTGAAAGGTTTGTACCGATGCATGCCATGGTAGCTATTGGTGTAATGAACACAGTTATTGGTGCTGTTTTGATTAAAATCTGAATTCCTTGTTCTAAAATTAAGTCACTCCTTAGCTGCACGTCTGAGTAGACAAAGACCTGTACACTTATTAACTGACTCCTCAAAAATGAGGCTGCAGGAGGCACATCTTAACTCTTGGTTGTAACTTCTCTTAATGCATATGTTTCTTTATTTGTGCTTTCTTGTCCTCAATAAATTTTAAATGATTTCTAGTCCTGGCACTTACTTGTAGGATGTAAAAGTGATTGCTTTAAGATGCATCCTAGTGCCAGATGTGTCCTGTTAGTTCATTCTTCGACTGATGCTTTTTAATGTGCAAATGCATATGAATTTCAGGAGCCTTTTAGATGAAGATTTCTAGAAGCTTAGGTGCATGTCACATGGGTGAGTGACTTCCAGTTGATGTTGTATTGAAGTTGACCTGCAAAAGAGAAAAAGTAGCTTGACCACCTTCTCAGCGTATAACAGAGACAGAGGGGGCAAGAGTAATATGTTAGATGCTGTATTTTTACTTTAAACGTTCAGAATTTCAGATATCAACAGAGCCTAGGAGACGAACCATCTGTTGTGTGCTGTGATCAGATGGTGGCTGAGTTTCTCAAGCCATTTAATGGAAGTGTCTAGAGTAAGAGACCTTTTTGTCAGTTCTCCTAATTACAGTTACCAAAGAGAGGTCTTCCCCATATGAATTAGTCTTCTATCTGTTTATAAAAGTAGAGTGATAAATTACTGTCAAGGTTGTAATTCTCTGAATGTCTAACATCACTGTGTTAGTGTGCTATTATTTCTGATGAGAATAAAAATGTAGAGGGAGACTACTTGGAGGGAAGGGACGTGAGAGCTTCCTTGGTCTCTTCACAACAGGGGAAAAAAGGAGTGGTGAATTTTTCATTTGCAGGTCAACTTTAAATACATGTTCCAGCCTCAAGCCTTATCCGTGCAATTTAATTTATGGGGATATCTCTTCTTTTAGGGTATGTTAGAAAGATTATCAGCATTTTTATGTTAGTTTATGTTCCATAGATGTTTTTGTTGATGGTGGAGTTTTTTCACTAAATTATAATACTGAGCATTGTGGCTCTTGAAAGACTTGGGGTTTTTTAGTTGCACTTAAGTACTTCATGTGGCTTTATTCTGTACTGTCTCTTAATAGTCCAGAAATACCGTACAGCTAAAATACTACATTGCCTCTCAGCTTCAAACTTGGGGTCATGGAATGGCTCATAAAAACACTAGAGAATCCAGTACACTCTAATTACAGCTCAATGGCCTTAGTTTAACCATTAAGAATTATCAGGCACTTTTTCTGAAGTGTTTAGCAGTTTTAAGACCATAACTCCAAGCCTCTGTTGAGAAGCAGTTCTCTCTGATCACTGGTATCTGCTGATCACCTGTCAGATGTGCAGTATTTGGGTTGCGAATGTGCTGAGTGCGCCTTGATGTCGGATCTTTTGTTAGCTCTTCATCTTGCTTTATATATTAGTCTAACAGATGAAACTCTTTTGCTTAGGCAATGCTTTTATACTCTGGTTTTCTTCTGTTTTTCTTTATCTAATAAGGATAATTACAAAACACTGGAGAGATTTTTACAGTGTCTTACATTCATCCTTTTTGTAATACTACACATAGAATTCATACATTATAAATTGATCTTAACTTGTGCTTTTAAAACTATAGAACTTCTTGCTTTTTCTGAAGATCATATTGCTGCTGTAAGAATGCTCTGCCCTTCTGCCCCTAGTAAAGTAAATACCTTCTCCCTTCGGTGTCCTTCTGTAACTCATTGGTATGTTGTTTTCAGACCCCTACTTTTCCTGGGATAAATACTTTTAAACCTTACTGCATGTACTGTTAACTCAGCATATTCTGCAAGTTGTTTTAATTAAGAGTTTCCCTCTTTTGAATAGTCAATGTCTCATTGTTCCAATAATAGTACCATTTTGTAGCTAATACTACGTAGACTTGGACACATTTTAGGATTGAACTTTCCTTAGTAGTAATATTACGATAATCCCTCAACTAAATACTGCCACGTATTGTTCATATGGTACTCTAATAATCTTCAGCGAGCAGGTGAACAATTTTTCCATTATTTTTCATGTGGATACTTACTTTCCTGCTCCTGTCATTTCTGTGCTGTAAGAGCTGTGATGTGGCTATCTTTAGTTACTCTCGTGTCTCTTGTGTGTACTCTTCTGTAAACAGGCGGGTATTTCAGTGCATATGTTGTCTGTTGGTCCCTGCCTTCATTTCTTTGGACACTGCTTCTTAATGTTCAGAGAGTTGGATTTATGGTGCATTTTCCCAAAAAGAGGAAAACTACTTGGAATGTAGTAATTGCTTGTATAAAGACTAAGGCTTGGTTTACAGTACAAAGTTTAACAACATCGTTGTGCCAGCAAAATCCGTAATACAATGCAGGCATGCAGACAGTTTTTTGCTTTAGTTAATCTCTCCTTCGAAAGAGATTGCAGAAGCTTTTATGATTACAGAGAAACCTATCTCTTTTATATCTGTTGCAGGATTCTGGTGATATAATTATACATGGCAGAAGCTTTGTTTTTCAGTTGTTGCCTAAATTTGCCATGGCAGATCTTATAGTAAAATTAAAACTTGCAAGTGGATTTTGATTGATCTTTAAATTGGAATGTAATGCAAATGTTGAGTACCAAAAAAACAGACTGCAAGAAAATATTCTGACACAGGTGGGAAAATATGTTTAGCAAAATACTTAGAATTTATGGCACCTAGGACTCATTTAAAAGGTTCTAAATTATTTTATGCATGGTCTCTCGGTATCATTATGAGAGGCTGATCTCATATCTGCCGATTTTTAGAGCAAAAGGGATGAGACTGGCATGAAAGAACCTTGGAAAAGCCCGGGCTGTTTTTTCACAAGTCTTGATATGACGGTTTTGTACTGCCTTTAGAATATCTTTCTGCCTTTGGCAAAGGTTGCTTTAAATAAAATCTTTAAAATTTAGCTGGCTTATGTGGACTAAAAATTTCTTCTTCTGGAACTTTTGGATTTTTTTTTTTTTCTTCCACAGATGAGATTTTTAGGTGCTGATAATAAATTTGAGGCTGGGATGTATATCTAATAAATTCAGTGGATAACTATTCCTCGCTCTGTGCATGCATGGGAGAATGTAAACAAGCTTCTAGAAACACATGCAGCTGCATCTGCCTTCTATGGTTTCTGCAATTATTTTAGCGTATGGAGCTCTTGAATAGTACTTACATAGAAATGTATAACTTATTTAAAACTTGGATAAAATTGAATGGAATATATAATCTGCAGTTATTTTACAGGAATCGAATTCTGCATACAAGATAAAAAATAAAATATCAAGATTACTTCAGTTTTATAAGCAGCAAGAAGGGCATTATGACTCTTCAGTTAAATTGAGACTCTGATGTACCAGTCCATGAGCTGGGGCTGCAATTTAAAATGGTAACTAATGACACTTAAAAATAATAGTAAACGTCTTAATAATTGTACTGGTCTAGCTTCTACATAAATACTAAGGTGAGGGTGAACATTTTCAGTGGCTGATGGAATCTTTAACTCTACTTTTTGTGAACTAGTACAGTAAATACTATCAGTTATGGGAAAAATGCCCCAAGACGACTGACTTATGTTCCATTGATCAAGATACAAAGCAAAACTGTCCAATTCAGAAATAGCTACCAACTGTAAAAAGTTTTGTTTGGGCCTAACAAAACAGGTGCAATAGCAGTCATCTTCTTTTGTTTGCTTGATCACTGGAATTTTGTTAACTTGAATGCATGTCTTTCACTTAATTGGGTCATGTTTTTTCTAAAATTTAAATTTTTCTTCTTCCTATAGCCCTGCCATAGGACAGGCTGAGGCAGAGTCTCAGTGTTGCCCTGTTCAGTCTGAGGCAAGTGGGATTTATTTTATTCATTCTGGGGGCTTTCACAGCTTTATGGCTGTTGGATATTTATGTCCCCAAACTTGCAGCAAGTTTGGTGAAGGCCCCTAAATTTATTTTAATTTAGGTTTTTTATTCTCTTTTGGTAGATGGGCTCTATATTAATATTTATCTTTTTATTATCGTGTTTTTAAGAGTCTTAAGGGGAGGGAACATGTTTTAAGATGTTTGGGTACCTTTTCTCCTAATGGAATGCGTTTCTTTCAAGGCCGCTCAGGCAGTCCTTCAGCCACACTGCCCCCTCTCCCTCTCCCCCTGCATTGCATTTGTGCTATATTTGTTTTTGGTTTTGGTAATGTGACTTTGTGTAGTCTCTGAGCTAGTGGCTTATAAATATCAATTACTAATGTTTCCTCTTCTGAGGAGACGTATCTATTGAAGTGCTTAAAATATTTAGGTTTTAACTAGTAAGTGACATTTAGGGTCACAAAATTGCGTAGTCTAAATTATAGGATACGGTTTCCTTGGAGGAGGTTAAGATGTTAATACTGCTGCATGTGTGAGCTGCACCACAACAAATATTAATGTAGAGCCCTATGAAGAAATAGAGATTCATGTTGGTAAAGTAGAATAGAAGAATGAGAAATCGAAGCTGCACGTTTTTCAGTTTGTCAGTTTCAGGGAAAACCTTTTTGTCAGTCTCTCAGACACACCAAACTTGACAATATTTTGTCTATTGCAACAATACTGAAAGTCATAGCGCTTTTTTTGAAACCTTGTGGAATTATGTTGCATATTCAGAATTTGCTTCGGTATATGGTTATTGGAAATTCCTTCTTTCGCATAGTGACTAGCAAAAAATTCTACCGTTTGTGGAGAAAAATGAGCTTTAGTGTTGCTGCTCACTCTGTTGCAGATGCATTGGCTTTGAATGCTTGAGGTTTCTTAAAGACAACTTCAGCTTCAGAACAGGTTTTGTCTGAGGAGGTCTTGCAGCCTATCAGCAGTGAAATAGAAAATTAACAAATGTTGGAGTCAGGTTTTATAACTTCTTTTAAATTTTTGAGATCTTTTTAAAATTTGTGTTTTTTGGTGAACATAGACTGTATTTCATTTCTTCAAGATTTTGCTAAATATTGACCCCCGATGTGATTTCCAGTAATTTTAATTAAAGGATAGAGTTGTAATTCTTAACTTGGTTACAAGAGTGGATTTCACATTCCTGTTGTACTTTTCTTTGTTTTTACTCTGCCCTTTGCATTTTGCCTG